AGAACCGAAAAAAACAACGATGGGAAAATTTTATCGAAGCTCGAAAATTTTTAGATTTAGCTTACGTGCAAAGCTGCTCCATACATGTGCGTGTCTTCATTTGTTTCTAGAAAAATAATGACAACAGCTGCATGTGTGAAACGCAAATAAATTTTTTGTTTTTTGAAGACACTTTTAATAAATTTAAATAAAAAGAACACTGTCCAGTGAGTTTATAATTGCAATTTAAAGTCGATGGATGACATGGAGAAACACATAACTTCTATACTTACTTTTAAATTGACCAGTAAATGCAGTTAACTCACAGATTATTAACAAGAAATAATGGTACAGTAGAACCTCCATTATCCGGACCTCCATTATCCGGATTTTCGATTATCCGGATTGTTCAAAATCAACAAAAATTTTACGAATTTGCCGATTTGCACTTGGCAAATTACGATACTGTTTATGTACGTGATGGAATGCATAACTTTATTTGTTTCAACAACGTCTCACCCAGCACAGTGGTCATAAACTCTTAAATATATTTTACGTAGTAATAAAAATATAACTTGACATTCGTATAATTTATATTCAAATTGCATCATTTCTATGACCAAGGGCGGCGTAAGGCATGGACGACGTGAGCCACCGCCTATGCCTCGCGTCTGAAGGGCCTCGCGCCTCGAAGGTTTATGCATTACTTAAAAGCCGCGAACGCGACGAAAAAATTTTACTCGTCATAAAACGATAAATAGTTTGTCAAATTTTTATTCATAAAAATGCAGTTTCAACTGCTTTTTATTTTATAAAATCCGTCTTCTTGCGCCACCAGAGGGCCTTTTAAACAATAGGTAGTCTGTTAGCGTTGGTCAGTAGTAGTCCAAATTCAATACGAACGTTTGTTTCTTGAAAATTTGATCACGGTTTAAATACAGTATTTACTTTTAATATTACCGATATGTCATCGAAAAGAAAACGTGTTGTATTATCTTTAAAAGACAAATTAAAGTATTTGTTTCGATTATCCGGATTTTTCCTTATCCGGACTACCTTCATCCCCAATTAGTCCGGATAATCGAGGTTCTACTGTATTTAAAAAGTAATTAGCTTTAAGAATTTCAAATATATAAATATTAAATTTCATATATATATTCTTACTTAATGTGTTTATATATATTTTTTTATTTTTTAGAATGTTGCCAAAGCCATCATTCGATGTAGAAATCCATCAAATAGAAATAGAAAGAGGAAGATTGGGAGAATACATTACACGCTTGGAATTTCTACATCAACAGCTAGGTTTAAATACTAAAGACAAATAATTGTGTTGTCTTACATTTTTTTACTTATATAATTTTTATCTTATTTGTCTTATTTTTCTTATAAAGTTTAAAATAACAAATTTTGTTAGTTTAAACTTTATCTGCCTTTATTGATCTTTAATTACTATTAATTAAATTTTTTGCAATTATTTTTTAACAGTTGAATAATTTTCATTTTATTTCAGTTGCTTGTTGCTTCTAATAGAATCATTTTTAGTTTTCTGATTTAGTTGTTATATTTTATAGTAACTGTCTCCTTTAAGAATTATCGACGTGTTCCTCAAAATATGATATCAGATGACGAAAGTGCAGATGATGACTTACATGAAACAAAACATTTGCATTACTTAAAGTTTGAGGATCACAGATCCCGCTAAGTACCACCGTCGGTCACCTTATGGACAAGGGCCTTGAGTGGTGACCGCAGTTGCTTAAAAAGCCATCAAAGGCTGTAGTCACCGACCCTATGGCTGCGATCAAAAGGTGTGCTCCGACATGTCCCCACAACAGCTAGGTAAGCTACACATTTGATCTTAGCCATAAGGCCGGGAAGCAATAATCGTACTTCAGCTCAATTACGGAGAATCAGTTAGTAAATTGCGGTATGTATTTCATCGATACTTCTCACTTGTCATTATATTTTTCTTTCTATCTCTTTCGGTGTTCTTAGAGACGTTATTAGAATTTTTAATGTAAGTATTAGTGTGTATTTTTCAATGCTAATGTAATGTACACGGGTAATACTAACACTTTTGTTTACAGGAAATCGTACTTCAACAATAGCACAGATTTAAACTGGGACCATCTACATAGCATAACTAGCGAAAAATTACAGAACTATGCCGTACCCATAGTTCTGTTTTTTACCACGGGATGCCGCTACTACGTGAGGTCAAATAGCTCGACAAGCGTAATTCAAATTTACAGTATATTGTGACGCTACTGAACCACGTGTCGGAACGCAATTGGTGTAAATAGACTACAGTCAGAATTAATTTATTACAAACAATACTTGCAACGGTTTGTTTCTTTCTTGAACGGCAAATTTGCTTTTGTCTGATATTCAATGTATATATTGTAGTCTTTAAAAGATGACTATTGTTCACTATTTTATTGTTCATTATTTTTATCAAAATATTTCAAATTATACAGAATATTATAAAAGTTATTGTAAAAAATGTGTAAACTTTCGTTATTAAATTCTTTTAATTTCAAAATTTTTTCGCTGAATTTTCAATCTCTTAGTCGGAATTTCTGTTTTTGTTTCTATTATTTAATTAAATTATTCTTTTCTATTTGGAAATAATTTAAACGTTATATATTAGAAAATTTGTAATATTTTATTTTACAATTAACGTTTATCTTTGAAATGTTCTACAAAAGAAAAAACAAAATTTTCTTCATAAGCATCCTTATTTTGTTTTCACGAGATTTTTAGAAACCGAACCCTGGCGAATACCAAGAGTATTCGCCAGGGTTAGGTTTGTGAATTTTGTTGTTGTCAATGTTCATCGAATAGCAACTTTTGGTCAATTATACAGCGCTGTACAATAACATGTAAAAAAAGACATCATAGACATGGGCGTAGCTTGTTTCATCCAGGCCAATATACTGTTACTTCTGTGGTGTGTTAAAAGGATGAAAGATAGACTCGAAAAATTAAAAAATTTTTGTAAATAGTCATAATTCAATTTTTAATTGTAAATATCCTGGGTTTTTCATGTTATCATGTATGCTGTTATATAAATTTGAATTTTTAGGATGTAGATGCAGGTACACTTGACCAAGCTCCAGAATTTATTGTGGGTAAGTGTTATGAATATTAATATGAGCGGATCGCGGAGATAACTATTAAGGAACGCAGACAGTCGAAGAACTACAGAAATTTTTCTTTTGCAATTTTCATAAGAATATGTCGGATTCTATTCTTTTCCACCAGTCGAATCTAAGACGAGTCTGCCTGAATGGCACTTGATGAAGATCAATTAAGATTAAGATAGACATTTAAATAAAATTTCCTTTACAGAACTTCTAACAATTGAATTTATTACGGTCTGAATTTTGTTCTCATTGCTAATTTACGCATGAATGTTGCAGGATATTGTGAGAATACGGACGAGGGGTCAAGGCCCGCTAATCGTCAGATCTGAGGGATCCGCTCACCTTGTCACTGGATGGCTTAATCTAATAGAATTCGAGTGGTAAAATTCTCTGTGGGGTTGTGCAAATCGGTAATAAACTAAGAAGGCCATTCATAATATCAAAGTAAACAATTTAATAAAGTAAAACAGACAAATAAAATACAAAATGAATATACATTGGACTTAAATTTCCTATGTTGAGAGAGAGAGTTCACAATAAGTTAATGTAACCTCATTGGACATTTACTTTTGTTGGGAGATGCCAATGATAGCCGGTTCAGAGGCGATAGGAGGTTGGACGGTGGGAGCAGGAGGTGTAGCAGGAGGAGTAGCACTTGACAACTTGTCGAGGAACTCCCTACGTGGCAAGAACTGCTTCTGTATGGCAAATACTTCTGTCGTAGACTGCCCTATGTGGCACGAACTGCCTCGAGTGTATAGAAATTTGCCTTTTGCTTACCACCAATCATTATTTAAGAAAACCACCATCTCACGGGATGATCAGTTATGTCACTTCTCCAGATGGTTGAAAAAAATCAAGACAAGGTGTCTCTGAAAGGAAACTAAACTTCCCTTTTTCATCAGAATAGAGTTATTCAGAATTTTTTTCAGGATGTAGTTTTGTTGCAACCATTTCAATGTTTTATTATATTAAAACATAAAAAATGTTAATATAAAAATAAAAAGATAAAATCAGTTTAATGTCTAGTTATATAGAATGGGGATTTTGTGAATATCATGTAAATGAGATAGGCTTTATCCAGCTTGTCACAATATTGTTAAAGGAGATAAAGGAAAAAAAATAACGAGGTAAGAATTCAGGAAAAGTTATTCTTTTACATTTTAATATAGAAATTACTACAGAAAATTTGAACAAGTTTTAAAATCATGCATTTTTTTAATACGAGCATTAAACAATAAAAATTAATGCAAAAACTGTTGGTTATGAAATCACTGTCTTCTGTATCAAAATACGAGATGGTCGAAAAGTTACTTAACTAAGCAGAATTAACGTTTATGGTCCCATTTTTGACTATCCGGTTGCTGTATAATTGATATAAAAAATAAAGTCCACATATTCGCTACTCTGAAAAGCAGTGATAAAAGTAAAGCAGCCCTTTACATCCCTCAAAAAACCAAAAATACATATGATTAAAACAACAAAACAATTGAAAATATGATAATATAAATTAACTGATTTTTAAAGTAAATTTAACTTATATTGTGCGCTTTATACGAAATATTAAATTTTGGGATTTTCTTAGCCGAGACAGCAATGTAATCATGCTGTGTGCAATTGAATATTTTTGAAAAAAGTGATTTACAGCTATTCTAATATTTATATTAAAATTTTCTACAAGAATTTAATATTAAATAATAAAAAAATAAATTTTTTTCATTTTTTAAAAAAAATTGAATTGGGGATAATTGAGTAACCTCAGGTAATTAACAAATTTTAAATCAGAGGGAAAATATTAATTTAAATATAAAAACTTCTGTTGGAATAATTCAATATAACATCAAAAATATATGATTTATAAACTGAAAATTTATTATCTGTATCTAAAATTTACATAAAAATAAACGACAGATTTGTTATTGCTACTGTTTAATTTTTGTTTAAATTAATCAAATGTCGATATCGTATAGCTCTTACATTTAGACGAAAATTCTAGTCTTAACTTTCCATATTTCTATCGTCATTAACACGAAAAAAGAAAAGATTAATGCTGTCACATTGTAATTATATTTGTTTTTCGAACATCTACTACAATAAAAAATAAAATCACGCACGTAATTATCATTAAAATGATGATAATTATAAACGTTCTTGATGATGATATATTTGCAAATACTAAATTTTGAATTATAAACAACTCGACTAACAACAATTTACATTTCAAATCAAATACATTAATAAGCACTTTATATTTCAATTTTATTTTCTGTAAATCCAATAAATTTATTATCTCGTTCCCGTAGACACACATTTTGCGGAAATCTTACAGTGATACCGTAAGAAATAATAATATTCGAATTTAACTTTACATTATATTCTCGTTTAGATTTCACTTTTTTCGAGGGAAATTTTTTGACATCAAAAATATAAATCAACCAAAAAGTAAATATTAGTCATAAGGTTTCTGTCACAGGTTAGAAATTTATCTTCAAATTTCCTGGCATCTGTTCCTTCGTCGCTCACAAAGTAACTCAGTTCAGGTGAAAACTCGATATCGGGTTGGACATCTTCAGCGAGGTAAAAGAAAGCAAATAAACGAATTGACCAATATTTTTCTACATACAAATTCGTTTGCAGATTTGCTACTCCCTCTGGATTGCATACGGTGTCAAACGAAAACTGCTTGTTGTCCAAAGAGTTAATATACCCGTTTACGCACATTCGAAAACATTCGCCAAGCTCCACCGGAAATCGAAGAGCCGTGACGTAACAATCTTCCATCACAACTACTTCGCTGCTAAAATATATGTAACCTTCCATCTTTCTGTTTGCGACCATAAAAGGAACTCCACGATTTATGTACGAGAACAAGCTAAAATAATTTATTCCGCTTCTGGTTTTTGTTTCTCGACTGAAGTAACTGGGATACAAGGAAGAATTACCAGTCTTATAAGCATACCAGATATGACTCTTTTCTATTGTGCTTAACAAGTTCATTGTATAAAGACAAGATTGCAATTCGTATTCATTCATGGCAAGAAATCTGACTTTTCCAATAAATGGCTTCATAACATTTCTTATTTCATTTCTTTTCGACTCTTCATTCATCGAATGAAAGTTGACTTCACCCAATATTCTTTTAACTTCTTCTGTGCTCCACTGATACACGGCTCCGAGTAAACGCAATTCACTGACAGATTCATATATCGCTCGAGAGAGCAGTCTATCAATTGTTGCAATTTTACAGCACATAAAGTCGACTGTTGTAAATAGTCTTTCTCCGAGTTGGTCGAAAGCTAGCCAGCAATGATAAGTTATGACTAGATCACCGATCTCACGTGCAAAATCGTGGATTGCGCAGACGGTATGCAGATTTATTTGCCCAATGATAAATAATTTGCATTTCTTACTTAAATGGTCTAACTCGTATCTTAAACTCAGATGATACAGATCGAACCCGTTTGTAATAGAAGTCAATCCGGGATCGTCCGTCTGTAAATAACTGTTTAAAAAATATAAATTATAATTTCTGACAATGTATTGAAATTAAATGTAAGGTAAATATCGTGAAAAACTTACGTAACGAATTGTCTGATGGTCTCGATTGGATAAGGCATAAACAGTACTTTAGAATTTTCAACATATGTAATGAGAAGTTCCAATTGCCTGTTCAGGACTTTACTTAACTGAGCTTCTGATATAACAATTTCTTCGTTTTTTTCGTTTCGGATTCGTATCCCACTCGAAGAAAGCCTAAAACAACAAAAAACGTATTTATTATTACTTCCGAACAAACATGTCTGTTTTACTGTACGGTAGTTGTAGTATTTCCGACAAAGGTGTATGAACAATAAATGCATTACTAATATTTTAAAAATAAATATTAAATTTTTCGTATTCGCACACATCTCTATTGTATGAACAGGGAAGTATTTCGGGATATGCCCTTCAGTAAACTAAGCAGGGACATAGCCTGAAATACAATCCTGTTAACAGAATAAAGATATCCCTGCATATTTTAAAGAAGACGCTTTGTATGATAGATCAGATTATTATTTATCAATAGATGTTAATAATAATATCAAAGTGAACTTTTGATAATGTAAAGATTTTTGTCTATGTCTATTGTTTTTGACAAAGTTTGACGGTTTTTTTGTTAAATAAATGTATCTTCGATTCTTCTTTTATCGCTCCCAGACTAGAATTAAAAAAACAATTAAGGAAAAGAAACAAAGATGTCTGTACAGTTTTCGTTATTAAAAATGTAAATAATACAGAATTTGTGTGTAATTGTTCTGTAATTCTCCACCAACAATAATTGATTTTTATGTAACATATCGTATTCTGAATCTCTATGTGATATAACAGTATATATACAGTATACAGCTAGTTCCAAATTGCGATTTTTTGGAATTTTCGATTATTTTGTTATACAAGCTTGACATTAAAAAATTATTACGTTAACATAATATTAGTCAATCAACATCTATTGTAATAAGTTACTAAACAAGTTCTTTAAGAGGGAGAAGCTGGTGATTTTTTCTTGATTAAGAAATAATATACGAAATTCTACTTTTATAAAAGAATAAACAATTACATGTTATTTTCAGTAACAGATGATAATATCTTTAGGTTTTTTTTCCATCGACACTTATTTCTTATGTTCTAAATCAGTGTTTCTCAACCTCTAACGAATCGTCGCCCCCTTCAACGTAGTATTGCCCCCTTCAATAAAACTATTACGTAGTATCGCCCCCATCACTTCAAAATTCCGATGCGCAGGACCAAGGCTAACGCCAAATTCGTACTGCATTGAATAGACTAGTGACTAGTATATTGTTATTTGTTTAATTATTGTTCGATATAACGAATAAAATATTTAATTATTCTTAATATAATGTTTTACTATATCACTCAGAAAATTTTTTCGCCCCCCAAAATATAAATTGTTACTAATCGCCCCTCAACATGGAAAAAACGCCCACATGGGGGCGATATCGCCCCCGTTGAGAAACACTGTTCTAAATAAACGGACAACGTTGCCCCGTAATTAGGTAAAAATTAAATTTTGTCCTCGTGTGTGTCTGACACTCACACAATACATAATTAAAGTTTACACTACAAACTGAAGAAAAAAAAAAGCCTTTAACTGATAAGTTATCAGTTAAAGGCCCACCGAGCGCTTCGAGTTGCATTGCTTCTGGCTATTCCATGCCGGGTGGCATCAAGTGGTATCTTCGTCGCTTACGAGGAAAAGCAGTGTATAACTTAACACTGTCGTACCTATGTATTTATTCTAAACATGATTTCTCTCGCTTTGTAGACCGATAAATACTACACAGTTCGGATAAGTGAATTTCTCTGTAATGTTATTTGGGACTTTCATGTGAAACTTGTAATCATTGAACAAATAACGTTTATAATGTTCTGCTATAACACGTGTTAGATCTATTCTTTTAAAACATTTTGATTTAAATATGAATAATTTCCAACAAAATATATTGTAAAATTATTGGCATCAAATTAATCTTAATCAAATCTTTGTACAATGTGTAATTAATTAACTCATTCGTTCATCTGCCCTAAACAAATAAATAGCACTTTTACATTTTAGAACTCAACGTCCCACCTACTAGTTGATGGAACTGAAGGATCCGCGATTTACGTGTCGACAAACACTGAACTACCGGAATTATCTTTTGTAGAAAAGAATGAGTATTAATCATTTGTATATTGAAAATTAAACAAAGCTTATTAACTGAAACTTTAAAGACCAAAAATAAATTCACCAGGAGAAGAGAAATTTTAAGCTAATTAAACCCTTTGACTCCTAAAAGTGGAAGAGTCTATTTCTCGAGTTCGAACATTGTAAACAGACGGTTATTTACTCAAGGGAATAAACTGTTTGTGAAGTTTTGCTTAGTCATTGTCTCCATTAAGACAATTGAAACTTTTGTTAGTTCATATATTCTAGAAAATTTATTCATAAAAATTCACTAAGAGTATGTTCATTTAAAGCGAATATATGTGATGAAATAAATACAAATAACACACAAAAAATTAACTTATGTCATTTATCACGTTATATTTTAAGCTCTCGATAGCAGTACATCATCGCTTTCTCTCAATTTTTATTATAAAAGAGACACATACGATAGTCAATTGCAAAACAGGTAAAATGATTTTGCGCCCACACATCTAGAAACGCAATAAACAGAAAACAATACAACTACTTACTGACTCTGCACCTGTCGATCCGCCATTTCCTCGGCTCGTTTCCGCACTGAACTCTCGAGTTGACGTCGAAGAACGGAGGCAACAGCGCTTAGAAGTAGAAAGAAATCATCACGGTAATTGGCTGGAGATGCCCCATGACGTCACCGCCGCTCCGCANAAAAAATCCAAGTAAAATACATCAAATATTGTGAACACTATAAATAATATAAAATAACTACATTTATAATTATCGCTAAGAGACCTGTATTTCATTGATGCTTTTATAAATAACTAGAAACTATTTTCTGCCAACTAATGAGATACAACGCGGTTTTTAATTAATGGACGTAAAATTAAACCGATAGATAAAGGAAAGTGTGCCTTAATTTGTTTACAATAGGTACCAACTTACGATAAATAAACTGTAGACTTATAACGACAGCATGAAGTATACACGGTTCACAGAAATTATTTAAAAACGAAAAGAATCCTTTGCTCGCGCGTAAAAACGANACAATCAATTTACATAATCATAATTTACATCTTGGTGCGTTAGTTTTATATTGACACGATTATTGTTTCGAGTGTCGTTGGAGTAAATTTGGTTTTCTTTTTACACTATAATTTTTAAATTTGTTATATTGTCTGAAAGTCGTAGAAAATAAATAAACGGAAATGTTGGAAATTATATGATTTCTTGCAAATATCAAACTTTTAAATATTTATATTAATTAAGAATCGCTTTGCTATGGCGTTTCATGTGAGAATTCAAACTATATTTGTAAGCGAACTTTTGTAAACAATAATCGCGCTTTGATTGTTTCNTTTCTTGCAAATATCAAACTTTTAAATATTTATATTAATTAAGAATCGCTTTGCTATGGCGTTTCATGTGAGAATTCAAACTATATTTGTAAGCGAACTTTTGTAAACAATAATCGCGCTTTGATTGTTTCTCTCCCATATGAATTCGTGGACGCCTTAATTAATTAACACGAATTGCATATTTCTTCTTTAACACAAAAATAAACCTACGATACAGCCAAAACATAAATCAAAACTTTTCGGTTATGTTTGAGTACAAGGTATGGAAAACAAGGAAACTTTAAAATGTAAATTTTCGTCTACAAGTACGTATTTTCTAATATCAAAAGTTATTATACTGGCTTTACAAACAATGCTACAGAGTTTCACAGAAAACAATTTTTTGTTTTATTTAATATACTGGACACAGTCATAATATTGCATTTCGGACTCTTTCGTCTCCCTTCAGCAGGTATTTTTGTAGTACATTCTATATAAATTAAAATAATAAAATAATTACATTTTGGTGTTATATTATTTCATACAATTGTTGTGTTTTAATTTTATTGAATATTTAATCATTTAATAATTAATACGGAAACTTTACCTTATTGTTAAAATAAAATTCATTTAATATATTTAACTTTGCTTTCTTTTGTGTGCAGAAGCAATGTTATCAAAATCTGAATATTCGACATTTAACTGAATGACAAAATAACTTATTGGTATAGAAAATACGTTTAGTATTATAACGATTCGAAATTACAGTTTAATAACAGCGTTTGAAATAAATTACAAATAACATTGTTAATAAAACCTGTATTAACATCTTTCGCTTTTTTGCATGCGAACGATGTTACCAAACGAAAAAGTTAAAATATTCGTATCAATTGAAGAATGTCAATTATAACTACTGTGAAAACAAATAAAACTGCTTTATTGTATGTCTGTATATATGTTAAATAAAGAGTTTTATATCGTTTAATACATCGGCACGAAATTTTTCAGAAATATTCATCAACACTATAGATAAAATACTGTGTGGGTTCTCACTTCAACTGTCTTTAAAGCCCACTTATTTTAAATAATCAATTTAATAAATGTACATTTTAGTTACTAAGACTATTGTCTTTTTACCTTCTCCCAACAAAACTCACCAACCCCATCCACGAAAACTCCGAGCAACGTCAAGCGAATGCAGCAAGTTGTTTAAAAATATATTTTCAGAGTTGAAAAAAATATTTATATTGTGGGTTATATTATTCTAATGAAATTAATATTAAAAAATAATCAAAAAATTTATGAATGTAATTCTGATAAACCACATTTAACTATTCAAAAACTTTAGATTTATTAATTTATTTATTAATTTATTACTTTGTATGCATAAAAGAGAAATGTATACGATGTTGCACAGTAACATTTAATAAATTTCAATTATCCTGGTAAATACTAGTGTGAGCTCGAGGGGTTTGAGTTCGAAAATTTTTAGGGTTAACATTTTTTTCATTAGAGGATAGAAAAAAATATAACGGAAATAGATCGGATGTGGAATCTTACACATCGTCCGTTTGTCAATTAGTCAACGTGCACGTGGTAATTAGTCAGCATAACGAGTGAACGACCNTATTGTTCTATAAATTATATAGTCCACTAGAAAATCTACATAATTGCTTTTTATAAGAATTTTATCGTTTTTGATAGTTAATTAAATATTGGGAATAAAACATTATTAATTTCAAAATTTGTCGTTTTTGTAAAAAGTTTCTGCAGTTTCTGACCTTGCTTGACTTGCGTACCATTTGAAAGACAATTTTCGAAGCTTTGTTTTTTATTTTCGCTAGTTTAATGTGAATGTTCATCGAACAATAACTTTTTGTCAATTAAACAGCGCTGTTCAATAACATGTAAAACAGTATAACAATAGAACGTGTTATTGCGATATCGCAAGAATATAAAAGCGCTATTGTACTAAAGAAAAATGTAATTCGGTGTCTTCGTCCTATTTGTAAATAATTACAAAATGAATAAAAAACCATATTTAATTTTCTTATTATCGGTTTTATAGAAAATTATCGTATAATAAAGCGATTGAAATACTCGATAAATAATGTAATTCGGGAAAACAGACTCGTAAAAAATAGTGATATTTTAAAAATTACACGAGTTTCATAATGTCTTTTGTAGTCAGAAAAAATAGCGGCTGTGTTTTAAAACATATATCAGTTACATTTTGTTTAAAATTATCAATGATTTAAAAGCAACCATGTAAAGTTGTCGATGTTTACATTGATCCAAATATGAAATAATTTTTTCTCAAATTCTGTTAGAAAGAAGTTACAGATTAATCAAAAAATCGCTGTATAACAAGTTCTCGCAAAAAATATTTAAGAGGCTACATTTTATAAATTTTTTTCATTACTTTCTTTTAGAAATAACAAAGTAATAATTCTATGTGCAGTTAATTTTATATGCGTTTTTATACTAAATGATAAATAGATATTAAACATGAGATAACAAAGGTCTTATTGTCGCGATATTGAAAATATATTGAAAAGCGCAATATTACTGTAGAAAAATGCGGTATTTCATTTATTTCTGCTAAAAATAACAGGTAATTAACCGGCTTCGACATAAATGTAATATATAATTACGCAAGGCAACACATTTAACTTACGTTTTTTTTGTGTGCAGAGGCAATGTAATCAAAATCTGAATATTCGCGTTTTAACTAAATGACAATAACTTATTGGTAGAAAGAAGACGTTAAGGATTATAACGATTCAAAATTACAGCTTAATAACAGCGTTTGAAATAAATTACAAATAGCATTGTTAATAAAAATTGTATTAAAATGTTTCGCTTTTCTGCATGCGAACGATGTTACAAAACGAAAAGTTTAAGATATTCGTATCGATTGAAGAATATCAATTATAACTACATTCAAACGAAAAAAAA